GTATGTAGAAAAACTAAAAAGCAAGTGAGAGCGGTATAGAATGACTTCAAACAGCCACGAGGTGAATAAACTGCACAGTTCTGCACGGTGGACTTAGCTTTACTTCATTATTTATGTGACGTCTACAGAACGACCTGCAGCTACTTCACACACGCACCCCTCACACACCACTACAAATTACTTCACATCACACTTTCTCGGCCCAAACAAAAAGTCTGGCACATTCCCTCTCAAATTAAGTCTGCCAGCACAAATCAGCGCTGCGTTCCCTGTAGTCAAGCTGCACTGTAACCTCAATATCACTTCGAGGCTCAATACTCACTCTGTTGAACCCCTAATGAAATGCAATCAATGATTGATAAGGTGGCAGTTGCCCTGAAGTAGACCCGCTGATGATTACAGCCGGTCGGCCCGAGCACCTGACCCCGCTCTGGGCTCCAGAGGTGTGCCACCTGGCCCTGGGAGAGACAGGCGCCGGGCCTTTTGTCTTATTAGCTGACTGTCGAGGTGTAAAGATCTGCCGCCTGGCAGCCATACAATTAGTCATCCTGTGATCTTTATTACTCTAGGGTGGTGGTCTTTCTTAGCAAAGCCCCAATTTGACACCCTCTCTTCCTCACCCGGGAGCCCCAGGCAATGCTGGGGATCAGGTGATGGGACCTTGCAGAGGGTCCCTTGCATCACAGGTTAAGGACGAGGCAGGAGTCCCTCTTGTGCTACCAAGAGGACCGTGTGCGATCCCCTGCAGGGTCAGCGATTGGAGGAATCCGCCCACTTTGTGATCTCTGGTTTCTCCATATACTCTTCTTTGCAGCTTCTTAAGACCCTCTTGATATGAGAAATCATTTTTCAAGGTATCTTGATTTGTCTATTTAGCTCTTGGGACACTGAATAGTACTTACAGTATTAACAATTAATAAATATAATTTTAATTAATGATTTTTCAGATCAGGATGCAAATTTAATGACTTTCAGTGGGGTCAGCTAAATAAAAAAATATATTGGTAATTTCACATTTACACAATAAATAGTCTTGGTCTTGCAACTCAAATAACCTCTGGACCGTTAGTCAACATTAACACGTAGGACATCTTGCAAAATTATTAAACTGAAAAGTTGCCTAATTCATTAACAACAGCAGAAATTTGACTACTAAAACTTTTTTGTTAATTGAAACAAAGCTGAAATAAAATAACACTTTAAAACAAACTGAAAATTAGAATTGTTACCCTGGAAATGAACGGAAATAAGTTTATGCTGAAGCACTAACTGGAAGTAAAAAAAAAACTAAAACGGAAACTGTTTCACAAAATAAAAATGACAAAAGCACATAAAAATTGAATAATGAAAACTAAAAAATATAAGTATATAAAATAAAAGCTAATTAAAATTTTTCATAAAATTATAATAGCACATAGATAATATTAAAGTAAAACTGGAACAAACACTTGGGCAAATATTGTATTAGTATTGGCCATATTACCAAGTGATGTGTAAAATTTGCACTAAAGTACCATAAAGTTGGTTTTGATGCATCCCTAATGTCAAAAACAATAGATATTTTCCACACTTTTAAAAAAGGCCTTTTTTATTATCCTAACTATGTGCAATTATATGCGCAGTTGCATTTTAATATTTGCATTTAGCATTGTTTTTAGCATTAGCATCATCTGACAATTATGAAATATAAAAAAAGTTCTTTGTGGAACACCGGTCAGTAAAACTCTTTTCGGTTCTAATTGGAACCTTTATTTTTAAGAGACAGAAAGGGTTTGGACTCTGTGAGAGATTCGCTCGGGGAGGCATGTGAGCGGCTCCCTCCCCTGAGAGGTGTTTTGGATGAGCTGGATTCATGTCTACATGTTAATCCCTTCACTCTACCTGCCAAAAGGCAGAGAGCACATGTTACGGCGCATCGAGATGCTGTGTTCCTCTCCTTTTCCTTTTCACAGACCTCCACATCACAGCTTCACAGCATGAAACCATCTCAACTCTCCCGTCCCTCCCCCCGTTGTCTGTGTGTGTGTGTGTGTGTGTGTGTGTGTGTGTGTGTGTGTGTGTGTGAAGTATATGTGGTTGAATGGGTCACGAGGAGTCGCTCAGACGCTCTACAGTTCATTCAGCACAGGTAACAAGGTGAGTCTGTTTGACTCTAGATTGGCCCGGCTCTCTACCCCTGAAGGCTGTCTCCCGACAAGCCTGTTTCTATCTTCCTCCTATCTTTTCTTCCTCCTGTTTTCCCCTTGCTTTCTTTCCAGGGGCTCAATTATGGGAGGATGGTTCTCAAGCGCCCGGCGAGAGCAGATCAGCTGACCCGGGAGAGCAAGCCATCCGACAGGTCCCTTAACAATGATAAATCACATACACACACTGAGCCTGGTGAACAGAGGTCCACCTCACACACACATACATACATAAACAACATTACAACAGCAACCTGCCACTTGCACACACACATATCAGCTTATTGTGCTAATAAAGAGCAACTGATAAAGCAAAATGTGCAAAAATGACAAGGCAGAGGAAGCCAATACTTCCTACTTCCTCCTTAAAGAGGGCACATAGTAGTATGAACAGGATGGGGCTAGTTGTCACAAGGACAATATCATCTGAATAACTTCTGTATAAGGTTTTAAGTGAAAAATACAACTGCACAAATGTATATTTTCTTTATCAGTAGCTTTTTATGTTGGTTTCAAACATGTAAAACACTCTTTAATTTGAATTATAATTATAATTTAGAATTGTATTCCATAAACTAAAATAAAAATGATCAAGTCACAACATTTTATGTTGTAATTTTATGAAATTCATTAATTTAAATATATGTTTATTTAAAAAAACAGTGGCTTTATATTTTTGTTACATTTTACATTTTATTTTATTATTTTTGTTTCAGAATTAATTTGCTGTTTATTTTTACCTAATATTGTTTAACGGCTGTTAATCAAATTCTTTTAATCTACCCCATATAGTGTAACAATATGCCTTACCATTGGGGCATGTTGTCACAAAATATCAGCGTGTCTAAAACAGTGTGTAAAGTTTAATTGCGTCTTAGGATCAAGATTTGCATTGATAGAGAAACTGACTAAACCCACTCTTAGAAATATTCACTCGCGTACAAACTGACAACTAGCCCCAGTCTCCACTATTTCCTTTGTCCAGGGCTTCTGGGAACTGCCACATGTACATAAAGTGCATATTCCCTCTGACTGAGCAGAAAGCCCATTTATAAATATTTCAGAATGCAAACAGGACTTTTTCGGTTCATTTAATGTGCATTCATTTTTCTTTTGTTGGAAATGGTTGCTAAGAGAGACACCCCCCCCCCCCCCCCC